GTATTCTTTCCTATGTACTGCACTCTGTATTTTATGTATTCATTTTAATTTTATTATATGTATGTTATTTCTCCTCCTGGTTCCACCCTGTGCTTTGCAGCTTCTTATTTAAATTATTATGAAATTCTTAATAGTTAATTTTATTAAATTATTATTAATTTGTTTTATTAAATGTTTCTTAAATTATTAATTAATAAATACCAATTTATGAAATGTTGAATAAATTAAAAAGGACGGTTCTACACTACAGGGGAATCTTCAGGATCAGCGTTCCAGAAAGTCTGAGCTTCTCAAGTACCACAGAAATGGGGACAGAGAGAGGGAAATTGGGATACAAAGGAGCCTGTGACCCCAAAATTTGAGAGAGCCCAGAGGAATGCCCCGTGGCCTCTGCCTTTATTGGGATAAAGCAAAAGGACTCCTCTGGCTGATTTTTGGGCAGAAACCTCTGGGGTTTGATTTCGCCACACCTGAGATAACAGCCACACTTTGAGATAACAGCCACAGCTGAGATAACAGCCACACCTGAGATAACAGCCACACTTTGAGATAACAGCCACACTTTGAGATAACACCACCCATCACGGGCGTTCTTCCCCCTCCCCTTTGACCCCCCAGAGCCACAGGATCCCCGGGAGCAGCGCCGGGAGCGGGGTGGCTCTGAGTGCAGGGGGGGCACAGGGGGGTCCCCAGCACAGGGGGGCTCAGTCCTGTGACCCCCCCCCTCCACTTATCAGCCTGGACCCCCCTGTGAGAAACAGGGGTCAGAATTGAAATTTTTATAAAAGTTTGTTAAGGGATAAAATCCTGGTGCTAATTGCCAAAAGCTAACTGTTAATTAAACCAGGTTCTTTCTATTCTGTTACATCACAGAGGTTCATGCATATTCATAATATATTATTGATCTAAAATATATATATGAGTAATAAAATCGAAATATTCTATATTGTTTGAAAATATTTTATATTACTATATTTTATAGTAGTAGAATTTATATTTTTATATATTATTATGTTAATATATTGTCTAAAAGTTGATAGTTTATTTCAATATTTTATATATGTAACTATACATATATTTTTCTATATTTTATATAAATTATTTTCAAACATTCCTGTGAGTTCCGTTGTACTTTGTTTGGTTTTAACCCTTGACTTGCCTCCACGCCATCTTGTGCATTAAACCAATTTATTTTATTTCTCCTTGCGGTTCCATCGTGTCGTGTGTTCACTCTCTGGGGATGAGAGAAGAATTCATAAATTCTTCCTTTTTTTACTGTTTTGGCACTGGGATGGGACTGGTGACACTGGAACACAACTGGGGACACTGGGACAGGGACACTGGGCTGGAGCTGGGGGCAGTGGGAGGGGACTGGTGACAGTGCAGTGGGGATACTGGGACAGGACTGGGAGCACTGGGATGGGGACATCAGGAAGGGATGGGGACAGTGGGCTGGTGGCACTGGGGTGGAACTGGTGACACTGTGAGCACTGGGATGGGGACACTGGGACAGGATGGGGGACACTGGGATGCTGGCATTGGGATGGGACTGGGGACACTGGGGTGGAACTGGGGACACTGGGACAGGGACACTGGGACAGGATGGGGACACTGGGATGGTGACATTGGTATGGGGACAATGGGGTGGAACTGGGGACACTGGGACACAACTGGGAACACTGGGACAGGGACACTGGGACAGGATGGGGGACACTAGGATGGTGACATTGGTATGGGGACAATGGGGTTCTGGCAGTGGGATGGAACTGGGAGCACTGGGCTGGTGGCACTGGGACAGGACTGGGGGCACTGGGCTGGCACTGGGTTGCTGATGTCAGCATTAATTAATTAATTAACCCACCAAGCCCCAATTATTTGCAAAGGCAAATCTCTTTTTCCATCAGTCAGGGGAACCCTTCCCATTGTCCCTTTGGTCTCTCAGCGCCGCTTTGATCTCCCCCAGAGCCAGAGGGAATGTCCAAGGAATGGCACCCGCCAGAAAGGGGTGGGACAAGGTGATGTCACCTCCCAGGCCCCGCCCCCCGCAGGGCCATGGCCTGCTGGTGGCCTGCTGGCGGCCAGGTGACACCGCGATGTCCCCTCCCTGCTCCAGGCCACCTGGCAGGACACAGCCACCGTGGGCAGGGCCAGCAGCAGGTGACAGTCCTTGGCCACCCCCTGGGACACTGTGGGGACACCGCACAGGTGGCACCAGGGACACGGCAGTGCCACCAGCCCGGTGGCACCTGTTCAATCCCAGTGTCACCAGTTCAATGCCAGAGTCCCTGTGGCACTGCCACCAGTCCTGTCCCGGTGTCCCCAGTTCCATCCTACTGCCACCAGCCCAGGGTCACCACTCCAGTGTCCCCAGTTCAATCCCAGTGTCACCAGCCCAGTGCCATCAGTTCAATCCCAGTGTCCCCAGTTCCATCCCACTGCCACCAGCCCAGTGTCCCCAGGGCTGCCCCACTGTCACCACTCCAGTGTCCACAGCTCAATCCCAGTGTCACCAGCCCAGTGTCCCCAGTTCAATCCCAGTGTCCCCAGTGTCTCCATCCCACCCCGGGTTTTCAAGGGGAAATATCTCAGTGACAGCGCCTTGAGGCAGCTCCCTGGCTGTGCTCCCATCTAGAATGTTGGGGTGGCTTTATTGACCACTCGTCTCTCACTGGGGTCAGGTGATGTGTCTGACACAGAGTTCAGATCAGCCCGCTCTGATTCATATAGAGAATATTAATTAATACATTATTTAATTAAATTATTTATTTATAGGCTGTACGGTGCACACATGAACTGATGGATTATTTTGTACCAGCCAGCAGCTACCAGGAATCACTGATAATCAATATCAATATCAAATACCGTATCAGATTGCTGCTGATCAATACAAATGTGCAAAAGGCAACACAAAAGTGCAAAGCCAATACAGAACTGCAAAAGGCAATTATTAAATTGTCATTTATAACCTGGATCTGCTGCAGTCACTGGAAAGCTGGAAGCTGCTGAGGGGACTCATTGACCCCTGTCCCCTGTCCCTGAGTGTCCCTGAGTGTCCCCAGGGTGTCCCTGAGTGTCCCCAGTGGTGTCACCACAGGAATGTCCCATCAGGATTGGGGACAAGTTCAATGAAAATTCCCCAAATTTCTCTCAAATCCCAAGTATGGAAGGGACAGGTGACAGCAGCGATGTCCCCAATGATGTCACTGTCCCGATGACGTCACAGCAGTGACGTCACTGCCTTGCAGCAGCCTCGGGATGTCCTCGATGGCTCTTTTGCACCACTTGGCCACCACGCGGCTGACGGGGCCACCGGGGCCACCGCGGCCACCACAGGGACTCAGGAGGAGGTCGTGGATGTCCCCAAGTGCCCGGCCCAGGTGCTGCGTGTACAGGTGGCCGCTGGCCTCCCACAGCTGCTCAAACTTGGCCACTTTGGCCACCAAGGCCTCGGGGAGGATGGTGACATTGGTATGGGGACAATGGGGTTCTGGCAGTGGGATGGAACTGGGAGCACTGGGCTGGTGGCACTGGGACAGGACTGGGGGCACTGGGCTGGCACTGGGTTGCTGATGTCAGCATTAATTAATTAATTAACCCACCAAGCCCCAATTATTTGCAAAGGCAAATCTCTTTTTCCATCAGTCAGGGGAACCCTTCCCATTGTCCCTTTGGTCTCTCAGCGCCGCTTTGATCTCCCCCAGAGCCAGAGGGAATGTCCAAGGAATGGCACCCGCCAGAAAGGGGTGGGACAAGGTGATGTCACCTCCCAGGCCCCGCCCCCCGCAGGGCCATGGCCTGCTGGTGGCCTGCTGGCGGCCAGGTGACACCGCGATGTCCCCTCCCTGCTCCAGGCCACCTGGCAGGACACAGCCACCGTGGGCAGGGCCAGCAGCAGGTGACAGTCCTTGGCCACCCCCTGGGACACTGTGGGGACACCGCACAGGTGGCACCAGGGACACGGCAGTGCCACCAGCCCGGTGGCACCTGTTCAATCCCAGTGTCACCAGTTCAATGCCAGAGTCCCTGTGGCACTGCCACCAGTCCTGTCCCGGTGTCCCCAGTTCCATCCTACTGCCACCAGCCCAGGGTCACCACTCCAGTGTCCCCAGTTCAATCCCAGTGTCACCAGCCCAGTGCCATCAGTTCAATCCCAGTGCCACCAGTTCCATCCCAGTGCCACCAGCCCAGGGTCACCAGTTCCATCCCAGTGCCACCAGGTCCACAGCAGTGCCACCAGCCCAGTGCCATCAGTTCAATCCCAGTGTCCCCAGTTCCATCCCACTGCCACCAGCCCAGTGTCCCCAGGGCTGCCCCACTGTCACCACTCCAGTGTCCACAGCTCAATCCCAGTGTCACCAGCCCAGTGTCCCCAGTTCAATCCCAGTGTCCCCAGTGTCTCCATCCCACCCAGGGTTTCCAAGGGGATATACCTCAGTGAAGCAGCTCCCTGGCTGTGCTCCCCTCAAGGACGTTGGGATGGCTTTATTGACCACTCGTCTCTCACTGGGGTCAGGTGATGTGTCTGACACAGAGTTCAGATCAGCCCGCTCTGATTCATATAGAGAATATTAATTAATACATTATTTAATTAAATTATTTATTTATAGGCTGTATCTCTCACTGGGGTCAGGTGATGTGTCTGACACAGAGTTCAGATCAGCCCGCTCTGATTCATATAGAGAATATTAATTAATACATTATTGAGTTAAATTATTTATTTATAGGCTGTACGGTGCACACATGAACTGATAGATCATTTTGTACCAGCCAGCAGCTACCAGGAATCACTGATAATCAATATCAATATCAAATACCGTATCAGATTGCTGCTGATCAATACAAATGTGCAAAAGGCAACACAAAAGTGCAAAGCCAATACAGAACTGCAAAAGGCAATTATTAAATTGTCATTTATAACCTGGATCTGCTGCAGTCACTGGAAAGCTGGAAGCTGCTGAGGGGACTCATTGACCCCTGTCCCCTGTCCCTGAGTGTCCCTGAGTGTCCCCAGGGTGTCCCTGAGTGTCCCCAGTGGTGTCACCACAGGAATGTCCCATCAGGATTGGGGACAATTTCAATGAAAATTCCCCAAATTTCTCTCAAATCCCAAGTATGGAAGGGACAGGTGACAGCAGCGATGTCCCCAATGATGTCACTGTCCCGATGACGTCACAGCAGTGACGTCACTGCCTTGCAGCAGCCTCGGGATGTCCTCGATGGCTCTTTTGCACCACTTGGCCACCACGCGGCTGACGGGGCCACCGGGGCCACCGCGGCCACCACAGGGACTCAGGAGGAGGTCGTGGATGTCCCCAAGTGCCCGGCCCAGGTGCTGCGTGTACAGGTGGCCGCTGGCCTCCCACAGCTGCTCAAACTTGGCCACTTTGGCCACCAAGGCCTCGGGGACATTGGGGGACGCCTCATTTGTCCCCTTCAGGGCGGCCTCGATGTCCCCAAGCCGGCGCTGCAGCTCCCGGGGGAACGCGGTGGCTTCGCCAAACACGGCCACCAAGCGCTCCAGCAGCCCCAGGGCCACCTCTGCCCAGTGTCCCCTCCTGCTGGCTGTCCTCGCCTGGCTGGTGGCCACCACGGCCTCGCTGGTGGCCGCTGCCCCCCGGGCATCGCGCGTGGCCCCGGCCGAGGCCTCCTCATCCCTGTCCAGGGCCACCGTCAGCTGCTGGGCTGTGGCCGCCACGTTGTCCCCAGCTGTCCCCCTGCGGGTGGCCTCATCCTGCGGGTCCCCGGCCTGGGTGGCAGCGGTGGCCACGTTCCTGCACTCATCACGGAGCTCGGTGGCCCTCCTGAGCAGCTGCGTCCAGCTGTCCTCGAACGCGGCCACCAACTCCCGCCAGGCGCTGGCCACGGCTCTCACGTCGGCCCAGGTGGCCCTCGGGGTGGCCCTGAGGGTGGCCAGGGCCTGGCCCAGGGAGGTGACGCCACGGTGGCCCTGGGAGGGGACAGCAGGGTGGCCCAGGCTGGCTGGGAAGCGCCAGATGAGGATCCTCAGGGCCGTGTACAGGGACTTTGGGTACACGGGCCGCCACACAGCCCGGCGTGGCCCGGTCACGGTGGCCGCCACCTCGCCCAGGGTGGCCACCGCGGTGACCTGCCGCTCCAGCAGCTGGGGAGGGGACAGGGGAGGTGTCAGGGACCTGGTGGCACTTGTGGCCGCCTGCAGTGGCCCCCTCTGCCCCTCCCTGGAGGGCTCTGCTGTCCCCTCTGTCCCTTTGTCACCCCCCCGTTCCCTCTGCCCCCCGCTGCCACCTTCTGTTGTCCCCCCCTCCACTCCTCTGTCACCTCCCCCCTTCCTATTATGCCCTCCTGTCCCCTTTGTGAACTCCTGTCCCCTCCTGCCCCCCCCGTGTCCCCTCCATCCCCCACTGCCCCCTTTCACTACCCCCTGTGTCCCCTCTGTCACCCCCCTGTCCCCTCTGTCCCCTCCCCCCCACCACTCTGGGATTTTCACACCTCGAGGGGCTCCATGGTCGCTGGGGACACTCCCGGGATGCCTTGGGGACACTCCGGGGACACTCCGGGTGACAAACACGCGGGTGACAGCTGGGGACACGCAGGAACATGGCACAGCCGGATGGGGAAACAGGAAGAGGTGACGACACTGCCACCCCGCCCGTGGGGCCAGGGCAGGGTCCCCAGTGTCCCCCGATGTCCCCAACAGGGCCCCAATGTCCTCTCAGGGTCCCCAACAAGGTCCAAGTGTCCCCTGATGTCCTGTTGGGGACACTGGGGACACACCAGGGTCCTGTTGGGGACACTGTGGGGACATCAGGGACATCGTGGTGACCCAAAACAGGACAGGGGACATGAGGGTGGCCCAGGTGTCCCCAAGAGAAGGACACGGGGATGTCCCCAAGGTCCCCAACAGGACCAAGGTACACTCCGGGGACACTCCGGGTGACAAACACGCGGGTGACAGCTGGGGACACGCAGGAACGTGGCACGGCCGGATGGGGAAACAGGAAGAGGTGACGACACTGCCACCCCGCCCGTGGGGCCAGGGCAGGGTCCCCAGTGTCCCCCAATGTCCCCAACAGGGCCCCGATGTCCCCTCAGGGTCCCCAGCAAGGTCCAAGTGTCCCCTGATGTCCTGTTGGGGACACTGGGGACACAACAGGGTCCTGTTGGGGACACTGTGGGGACATTGGGGACATTGTGGTGACCCAAAACAGGACAGGGGACATGAGGGTGGCCCTGGTGTCCCCAAGAGAAGGACACAGGGGTGTCCCCAAGGTCCCCAACAGGACCTCGGTGTGTCCCTGGTGTCCCCAGCTGGACACTGGGGGACACTTGTGCCTTGTGGGGGACATCGGGGCAACACCAGGGCCATGTGGGGACACTCAGGGGACATCGGGGTCCCGTTGGGGACATCGGGCGGACATCGGGGACCCTGCCCTGGCCCCACGGGGAGGGTGGGATGGTGACATCACCTCTTCCTGTTTCCCCCATCCGGCCCTGCCACGTTCCCACGTCCCCAACTGTCACCCGGGCGCGTTTGTCACCCAGAGTGTCCCCGGAGTGTCCCCAGTGGCCATGGAGCCCAAAGAGGTGTGACAATCCCGGCGTGGGGGGACACGGGGGTGACAGAGGGGACAGGAGGGCGTGGCAGGGAGGGGGAGGTGACAGAGTGGTGGAGGGGACCGAGGGTGGCAGAGGTGACAGCGAGGAGGTGGCAGCGAGTGGCAGAGGGGACAAGGGGGTGACAAAGGGACAGAGGGGACAGCAGAGCCCTCCAGGGAGGGGCAGAGGGGACCCAGGGAGGGCACAGGGGCCACCACAGGAGGCCACAAGTGCCAGCAGGTCCCTGACACCTCCCCTGTCCCCTTTCCAGATATTATTCCATAAGTCCCTGGACTACCCTGGTGTCACCTCCCCGGACTACCCTGGTGTCACCTCCCTGGGCCACCGAGGTGTCCCCTCCCTGAGCCGGGCCCTGGCCACCCTCGGGGCCACCCCAGGGGCCAGCTGGCCCTGGGGCCGCTGCAGTGTTTGGTGGCCATGTGTGACAAAGCCACCTTGTTCCACTGGAACATGGAGTGCCAGCTCAAGGACATCGAGGCCATCCTGAAGGGGACAAATGAGGTGTCCCCTGATGTCCTCCAGGCCTTGGTGGCCAAGGTGGCCGAGTTTGAGTGGTCGTGGGTGGCCAGCGCCTGCCTGGCCAAGGATCACCTGCTGGGGACACTTGGGGACATCGACAACATCCTCTTGAGTCCCTGTGGTGGCCCTGGTGGCCCCGGTGGCCCCGGCAGCTGCGCAGTGGACGAGCGGTGCCAAAAAGCCATTGAGGACATCCCAAGGCTGCTGTGGGGGCAGTGACGTCACCGCTGTGATGTCATCAGGGCAGTAATGTTACTGGAAAGGCTTGTGGCCACTGGAGTGCCACCAGCTCCTCGTGTCACCAAGAGCCCTTCAAGTGCCACCAGACTGGGACAGAACCGGTGCCACTGGAACTGGTGGCACTGCCGTGTCCCTGGTGCCACCTGTGTGCTGTCCCCACCGTGTCCCTGGGGGTGGCTGAGGACAGTCACCTGCTGCTGGCCCTGCCCGTGGTGGCCTGGAGCAGGGAGGGGACATCGCAGTGTCACCTGGCCACCAGCGGGCCACCAGCGGTCCATGGCACTGCGGGGGGCGGGGCCTGGTGGTGACATCACCTTGTCCCACCCCTTTCTGGGGCTGCCATTCCTTGGACATTCGCTCTGGTGATGTCCAAGTAGTGTTCTGGTTAATTAATTAATGCTGACATCAGCACCCCAGTGCCAGCCCAGTGCCCCCAGTGCTGTCCCAGTGCCACCAGCCCAGTGCCCCCAGTCCTATCCCAGTGCCACCAGCCCAGTGCTCCCAGTTACACCCCAGTGCTCCCAGTGCCAGCGCCCCATTGTCCCCATACCAATGTCACCATCCCAGTGTCCCCATTCTGTCCCAGTCTCCCTGTCCCAGTGTCCCCAGTCCCATCCCAATGCCAGCATCCCAGTGTCCCCCATCCTGTCCCAGTGTCCCCATCCCAGTGTTCCCAGTGTCACCAGTTCCACCCCAGTGCCACCAGCCCACTGTCCCCAGTCCCTTCCTGATGTCCCCATCCCAGTGCTCCCAGTCCTGTCCCAGTATCCCCATTGCACTGTCACCAGTCCCCTCCCACTGCCACCAGCTCCAGCCCAGTGTCCCTGTCCCAGTGCCACCAGTTCCAGCCCAGCGTCACCACCCCAGTGCCACCAGTCCCATCCCAGTGTCCCCAGTTGTGTCCCAGTGTGCCCCATCCTGTCCCAGTGTCCCCGTCCCAGCGTCCCCAGTTCCAGCCCAGTGTCACTGTCCCAGTGCCACCAGTTCCAGCCCAGCGTCACCACCCCAGTGCCACCAGTCCCATCCCAGTGCCAAAACAGTAAAAAAAGGAAGAATTTATGAATTCTTCTCTCATCCCCAGAGAGTGAACACACGACACGATGGAACCGCAAGGAGAAATAAAATAAATTGGTTTAATGCACAAGATGGCGTGGAGGCAAGTCAAGGGTTAAAACCAAACACAAAAACATGTGAATTCACAGGAATGTCTTAAAATAATTTATACAGAATATAGAAAAATATATGTATATTTATGTATATATAAAATATTGATATAAAATATTATTTTAAAATAATATATTAAATTGATATAATATATAAAAATATAACATAAATTCTGTTCGCATAAAATATATTAATGTAAAATATTTTTTAAAAAATATACATTTCTATTTTATTATTAATACATATTTTTCTTTTTAGATCAATAATATCAATAATTAACCGTGGTTTAATTAACAGGGAGCTATTGGCAATTAGCACCAGGATTTTATCCCTTAACAAACTTTTATAAAAATTTCAATTCTGACCCCTGTTTCTCACAGGGGGGTCCAGGCTGATAAGTGGAGGGGGGGGCTCCCAGGACTGAGCCCCCCTGTGCTGGGGACCCCCCTGTGCCCCCCCTGCACTCAGAGCCACCCCGCTCCCGGCGCTGCTCCCGGGGATCCTGTGGCTCTGGGGGGTCAAAGGGGAGGGGGAAGAACGCCCGTGATGGGTGGTGTTATCTCAAAGTGTGGCTGTTATCTCAAAGTGTGGCTGTTATCTCAAAGTGTGGCTGTTATCTCACAGTGTGGCTGTTATCTCAGCTGTGGCTGTTATCTCAAAGTTTTAGATCAATAATATCAATAATTAACCGTGGTTTAATTAACAGGGAGCTATTGGCAATTAGCACCAGGATTTTATCCCTTAACAAACTTTTATAAAAATTTCAATTCTGACCCTGGTTTCTCACAGGGGGGTCCAGGCTGATAACGGGGGGGGACAGGACCGAGCCCCAAGGGACCCCCCCAGGTTCCCCTGCACGAGGTCCCAGTGACACGAGGAGCTGGTGGCACTCGGGGGGCTCTTGGTGACACAAGGAGCTGGTGGCACTTGAGGAGCTCTGGGTGACACGAGGAGCTGGTGGCACTCGGGGGGCTCTTGGTGACATGAGGAGCTGGTGGCACAACGAGCTGGTGGCACTTGAGGAGATGGTGGCACTTGAGGGGTTCTTGGTGACACGAGGAGCTGGTGGCACTTGGGGAGCTGGTGGCACTTGAGGGGCTCTTGGTGACACTTGGGGAGCTGGTGGCACAAGGCGCTGGTGGCACTCGGGGGGCTCTTGGTGACACGAGGAGCTGGTGGCACCTGAGGAGCTGGTGGCACTTGAGGGGCTCTGGGTGCCCTGAGGAGCTGGTGGCACTTGAGGAGATTTTGGTGACACCAGGAGCTGGTGGCACTTGAGCTGGTGGCCCTCAAGCGTCCACAAGTCTCTCCAGTGACATCACTTCCCCGACGACGTCACAGCAGTGACATCACTGTCCCCACAGCAGCCTCGGGATGTTTCTGATGGCGTCTCGGCACCGCTCGTCCACTGCGCGGCTGATGGGGCCACTGGGGCCACCGGGGCCACCATGGGGGCTCAAGAGGAGCTTGTCAATGAGCTCCAGTGTCTCCAGCAAGTACTCCCTGAACAGGCGGGCGCTGGCATCCCACAGCTGCTGGAACTCGGCCACCAAGGCCTCGAGGACACGGCGGGACGCTCGGTCTCCAAACTTCAGGGCGACGTTGATCTCCCAGAGGTAGAACTCCATGTTCCTGGTGAACGCCATGGCATCGTCACACGCGGCCACCAAGCGCTCCAGCGGCCCCAGGGCTGCCTCTGCCAAACGTCCCCTCCTGGCGGCCACCCTCGCCTGGCTGGCGGCCACCACGGCCTCTCCCATGGCCTCGCTGGTGGCCACCTCCTCCTCACTCATGGCTGCTTCCTCCTTGTCGATGGCCACCTCCTCCTTGTTGGTGGTCACGTCCTCCTTGTTGGTGGTCACCTCCTCCTCACTCATGGCTGCTTCCTCCTCGTTGGTGGCCACGTCCTCCTTGTTGGGGGCCACCTCCTCCTCACTGATGGCCACCTGCTCCTTGTTAGTGGCCACCTCCTCCTCACTCATGGCTGCTTCCTCCTTGTCGATGGCCACCTCCTCCTCGTTGGTGGTCACCTCCTCCTCACTCATGGCCACCTCCTCCTTGTTGGTGGCCACCTCCTCCTCACTCATGGCCACCTCCTCCTTGCTGGTGGCCACCTCCTCCTTGTTGGTGGCCACCTCCTCCTCACTCATGGCTGCTTCCTCCTCGTTGGTGGCCACGTCCTCCTCATTGGTGACCACCTCCTCCTCACTCATGGCTGCCTCCTCCTCTTTGGTGGCCAGCTCCTCCTCGTTGGTGGTCAACTCCTCCTCACTGGTGGCCGCTGCTTCCCAGGCATCACGTGTGGCCCCCACCGAGGTCGCCTCCTCCTCCTCCTGCTCCTCCTCCTCGTCCCAGTCCACCGTCGGCCACCGGACCGCGGCCACCAGCTTGCCCCAAGCTGTCCCCCGGTGGGTGGCCTCGTCCCGCGGGTCCCCGGCCCGGGCGGGGGCCGCGTGCTTGCACTCAGCGCAGAGCTCAGCGGCCTCCCAGGCCAGCTGCCCCCATCTCCCCCCGAGCGCGTCCACCATCTTCTGCCAGGCCACGACCGCCGCGATCGCGCTGTCACGCGCCTCCGGGGTGGCTTCGAGGGCGGCCAGGGCCCGGCCCAGGGAGGGGACACCGCAGTAGCCCAGGGAGGTGACATCGCCGTGCTCCAGGGTCTCACAGAGGCTCTGGGTGAACCTCCCCAGGGCGGCGTGCAGGAACACCGGGGACACGCGCCGCCGCACGCCCCTGTGTGACGCGGTCACGGCGGCCACCACCTCGCCCAGGGTGGCCACCACGGCGACCTGCCGCTCCAGCAGCTGGGGAGGGGGCACCTGGGGAGGGGACACGGCAGGTGTCAGGGACCTGCCGGCACCTGCGGCCTCCTGCCGTGAGGGGTGCCCTTTGTCCCTCCCTGGAGGGCTCTGCCGTCCCCTCAGTGCCTGTCACCCGCTCGCGTCCCCTCTGCCACGCCCCGTGTCCCCCCCATGCCCCTCTGTCCCCCCCCGTCCCCTCGCCCCCCGTCGCACCCGTTGGTCCTCCATGCTCACTGGGGACACCCTGGGGCCGCTCCGGTGGCGGAGGAGCCGCGGGACCAGCGCCGGTCCCGGCCCAGAACCGGCCCCGGCCACACGCGGTAATGGCGGCGCCGCCTCAGGACAACGCCGGAAAGGGCGGGGCGAGGTGACGTCACCGCCGCCCCCCCGCGCCAGGACCGCCCCTATCCCTGGAAAGCTCCAGGATTTGGGCGCTTTGGCTCCATCCCCGGGGATTTGGGCTCCCTCCCAGGGGATTTAGGCTCAGCCCCAGGAGGTTTAGGCTCCACCCCGCCATTTCCAGCCGGATTAATTCCGCCGTTCCCGGCTGGATTTAGGAGGGAACGGGGAGCGCTCTGAGGAGCGGGCGGAACTGCCCTCACCCAAGATGGCGGCGCTGCTGCACTGCCGTGAAGCGCGCACCAATCAGAAGCCGCGCCTGGCAGAAGTACTGGCGGAAGTTCTCCCCGCGGCGGCGTCGCCGACAGGGACGCGGTGCATTGTGGTCATTGTAGTCCCGGTGGGGCCCAGCGGTGGCGGAGCGGGGCCGGGGGGAGCGGGGCGGGAATTTGGGGGCGCCGAGGGAGCCCCGGGACCCCCCCGGCAGCGCGGGATGGGCGGCAGCGACCGCGGCCAGCACTGGGAGCGGGGGGCGGTGAGGAGGGGCTTTGGGAGGCTCCTGAGGGAGAACTGGGGAGTCCTGAGGGGATTTGGGGGAATTGTGAGGGTGTTTAGGGCCGCCGAGGGGATGTGAGGGGGTTTAGGGGGATGTGAGGGAGAACTGGGGGGCCTGAGGGGATTTGGGGGGTCCTGAGGGGGTTTTGGGGCGTCCCGGGGGTCTCTGTGAGGGGATTTGGGGGGTCCTGAGGGGATCTTGAGGGATTTGGT